TGGCGACTTTGGTGCTAAAGCTAACAGATTGCAAATATTTCTTCCAGTGTATTATCTAATATATATATTTTGGATTAAAGCATTTGCAAGTAATATATGATCACCTATGAACTGATAAATATAGATTTTTTTAGCTTCTGCCCATGCCATTGATCATAATATTTGCCAAGGCCGGCCGACGCCTCTTCCACATGCCAACGGCCAGGGCATGGAACTGCACGTGGCGGAACCAGACCTCAGTGCTGGTGCTGTCGCTCCCCTGGGGAAGAAATATATAGATATATATCAGAAATGAATCCATTTCTTATATACACATTTCTTGGCGTAATTAATCTCTCTCTCTCTCTCTCTCTTATATATATGTATGTGTGCAGTGTGTGTGTGTGTGTGTGTGTGTGTGTGTGTGTAGATATACATACATGCATACTTATATAAATGTGAAAATATATATGTATATATATATATATATATATATATATATATATATATATATATGTATATATATACATACATATATATATATATATATATATATATATATATATATATATATGTATATATATACATACATATATATATATATATATATATATATATATATATATATATATATATATAAATCACACACACACACACACATATATATATATATATATATATATATATATATATATATATATATATATATATATATATATATATATATGTATATGTATATATCATATATATATGTATATACATATATATATGCATATATACATATATATATATATATATATATATATATATATATATATATATATATATATACATATATATATATATATATATATATATATATATATATATATACATATATATATATATATATATATATATATATATATATATATACATACATATATATATATATATATATATATATATATATATATATATATATATATATATACAGTATGTATGTATGTATGTATATATATATATATATATATATATATACATATATATAATATATACAGTATGTATGTATGTATGTATGTATGTATGTATATATATATATATATATATATATATATATATATATATATATATATATATATACACTGTACGTATATATATGTGTATATATATATGTATGCACACACACACACACACACACACACACACACACACACACACACACACACACACACACACACACACACACACACACACACATATACTACTGTGTATATACAATATATATGTATATATATATATATATATATATATATATATATATATATATATATATATATGTATGTATATATATATGTATATATATATATATATATATATATATATATATGTATGTATATATATATATATATATATATATATATATATATATATATATATATATATACATACATACTCTCTCTCTCTTTTTATATATATGTATATACATATATATATATATATATGTATATATATATATATATATATATATATAAGTATGTATGCATGTATATGCACACACACACACACACACACACACACACACACACACACACACACACACACACACACACACACACACACACACACACACACACACACACACACACAGACGTCGCCTTGCGACGCCTTCTCTCACGCCATGCTTAAAGTGAACACAACCAACCTTGAAAATGTAAGTTTCCTTGGAGCTGAGATCGGTCACCTCGAAGCACTCGGCCTCGCCCTCCGCTTCCCAGGCCACCACGCACTGGCTCAGTAACCACGGGTCGTGCTGCAACACAGGGCGCGCCTTTACCAACCAACGACAAACAGTCCATTATCTGTCTATGCCAGTGGTTCCCAACCTTTTTCACTCTGTGGCCCCTAACCAATATATAGTGATCTCCATGACCCTTTTCAGTCATAATTTGTTTCAGTTATCACTAGTCATAAACAGTGTAATAGCTATAGGACAAGAATACTTTATTGGAAGATTCCAATTTATTGACATGTGAGACACTATTATATGTAGATATTGTAGGTAAGATAAAATTCAGTTTAATTCGGCGTCAAAATTTGAATATATAAATACATGTATGTGTTTGTGAAAATATATGAATATATATGTGCGTGTGTGTACACACACACACACATACACGCACGCACACACACACACACACACACACACACACACACACACACACACACACACACACACACACACACATATATATATATGATATATATATGTATGTACATATACATATCAACATAATCATCAGCCTGAATCAATCCACTGCAGGACGTAGGCCTCTCCCAATCTTTTCCAACTTTGTTTGTCTTGCGGAATTGTTTCCAGTCTTGGGCCCCAAATTTTGTTAGTTCGTCACGCCATCTTGTCAGTGGTCTGGACCTTTGCCTTTTTATGTTATCTATAGCTCAGTCTGTTACTCTTTTTGTCCATCTGTCGTCCTGTTTCCGACATATATGATCTGTTCATTACCATTTTTTTTCTTTTTGATGTTCCCAAGTATATCTTCCACTTTTGTCTGTTTCCTGATCCATGTCGCCCTCTTTCGATCTTTAATGCTAATTCCCAGCATCAACCTCTCCATCCCTCTCTAGGCACTTATTAGTTATCCCTCCAGTAATTGGTTGTAGTCCATGTTTCTTATCCGTAGGTCATAACTGGGAGGAGGCATTGCTTAGAGACTTTTTAAACATAATGGCAAGGAGCCTCTTAGTATGCTAATGTGTCTCCCGATGGCGCTCCAGCCTAGATAGATGCATCGCTTAACTTCCTCTTCGCTTGATGTGTTTTTCTGTTGCCCTAGGTATATGTACTTGTCCACTACCACTAGCGCTTCTCCGTGTACATGTATCTGTCCGAATTGAGCTCTACTGTTGAACATGATCTTAGTCTTTTTCTTGTTAATCCCAAGTCTGACTTTCAGACTTTCTCTATTCAGTTCGTTTATTAGTTGCTGCAGTTCATTTGCAGAGTCACTGAATATTCACTGCAGTTTCATTTGCATATTCACACAATATCACCTGCAAATCTTAAGACTGTTTAGGTATTCGTCTTTTGGTACCCTTTCCGTTTCATTCTATCTTCTTGAATATTTCCTCAAGGCAAACTGTAAATAGTTTTGGTGAGATGGTATCGCCCTGTCTAACACCTCTTTTGGCATTTTATCAGTTTCCATGTGGAGCTTGATGGTTGCTGTTCCATCTTCGTATATCTTCCATATCTTATAATATACGTCCTCTACTCCCTGTCTTCGAATAGCTTCTAGTACTGCTGGTATTTGTACAGAGTCAAATGCTTTTTCGTAATCGATGAAAGGTATACACAGGGATTTCCTCTTTTTATTCTCTCTTATTTGGGTGAGTATGTGGATGTGGTCTGTTGTTGAGAATCCACTGTGGAAACCTGCCTGTTGTTCTCTAGGCTGGTTAGAATCCAGACTGTCAGAGATGCGAGTTGTGATGACTTTTGTGAACAGTTTGCAAGTAATTGAAAGGAGGATTATGGGTCGGTGTATTTTTAGATCCCTTCTATCCCCTTTCTTATGTATCTAATAATTGTTTTTCCGTTTCACTGTTACAATTTCTCCTTTATCTGCTATAAGGTCTTTACTAATTCCATCTTCACCTGGTGCTTCCCTATATTCATGCCTTTAAGCGTCTTTATTTCTTCTGCTGTGATGTCTGTAGTTACCGCGTTCACTTCTATCCATGGCTGTTTATTTGAGTTGTATAGATAACTATAAAAGTCTTCCACTTTGGATTTCATTCTATTATATGTAATTCCTCTTTTATTGCTTACATTTGATTTCTCCCTATTCCGAGTCTCCTTTTAGCTGTTTTCATGCTGGTACTTGAGATCACGGTTTCATTTATTATTCTAGTATTTTGTCCCTGATTGACGATACTTTCATGATCCTACGTTTTTGCATATGCTGTTTAATTTCTATCGAGAGCTTGCTGGAGCTTTGCTTGACGTTCTTACCGCCTACTTCAAGTGCAACTTCCTTTATTATGTCACTGAACTGTCTGTTGATTTGGTCAATGTTGAGATCTTCGTCGCTGAGAAGCGAATGTCCGTTTTGGATGTAAGGTTAAATTCTGTCGCTCTGGTCTTCAAGTTAGCTATATTTGACTTCGGTTTTCGAATGAGTAAATCCCTTTCCCTTCTGAGGTGTAATTTAATTTGGCCTTTGACCATTCTATGGTCGCTGTCAACATCTACTTTATTAATAACTTTTACTATATCACGCCTATTTCAAACTATGAAGTCAATTTCGATTTGGTTGTCAGATGGCTACATCCATATCCACTTCCGCTCTAGTCTTTTTTTTTGGAGAATGTATTCATGATATTAGGTGATCGAGCCTCCGCAAAATCGATTAGCATTTGTCCCCTTTCATTCCTAGTGCCTATTAAGTGATTCCCCACTACGGTTTCTTTTGGCATTAAAATCTCCTATAATCATTGTGAAACGCGTTTTTTGCTCTCTCGGTGGCTAACTGAACATCTTCCTAGAAGCTCTCGATTTCTTCATCACTGTGGCTGCAGGTTGGAGCATAGACTTGAACAATCTTTAAGTTGTACCTAATATTTAGTTTTATTGTTGCTGAAGCCACTCTTTCGCTTATACTATAGAATTCCACTATATACTTTTCTAAACGTTTGTGAACTAAGAAACCTATCGCTAATTCCTGCTTGCTACCCTGGGATTTACTTTTCCAATAGAGCATGTGTCCATCATTTGATATCTTCTGTTCTTGGCCTAGTCTTCTAACTTCACGGAGTCCTGCAACATCCCATTTAATGAAAGAGAGCTCCCAAAGTAATGCTAGTAAGTCGGATTCAGTTCTCCTTGTCCTTATATTATATGTGGGGCGGCCTGTTTTTAACCGGAGATTTTTAGCATCCTCTGCTCCGGACCGGACCGGTCCTCTGCTCCGGACCGATCCTGATCCATATCAAGAGGTTCCTTCGCCTCCGGAGAATGAGGGCCGTTGCTCTTTTTGTGCAGTCACGGATTTTGATTGAGAAGTAGAGAGCCGTGTTAACCCTCACCTACTGGCTTAGGTGTATCTTGGTGGGAGGGAGAGTAGTTTAGTTGGCCTTGTCTAGTGTGGATTTAAAATAAGCAACGCACGGGCCTGCTCACTACACCAGGGTATACTCCCATGAGCTGATTTCATATATATATATATATATATATATATATATATATAT